GCCGCAGGGAAGCGCTGCTGGAGCTGGGATCTCCATCCAGCTGGTCCCTGAGGTCCTTTTGCGACGGGAAGCTGCTGGGGATTGCCCATGGCTGGCTTGGGGCAGGGGTTGGGCTCCCGTTCAGCTGCCCCTCTCCCCACAGCTGCTGGAGGTGAATAAGCAGTGGGATCAGCACTTCCGAGCCACGAAGCAGAAGTACGAGCAGAAGGTAGGGCTGGGTGCTTGGGGGCCACATCTCTGCTGAGCGCCAGCTGGGGGGGAGGCTCGGAGGAGACCGGCTGTGGGGGAGGGTTTTGGGGCTGCCTACGCCTCCTTCCCCGCGGTGTGGGTCCTTCTGGGCAGGCCAACATCCCTGCTCCCTCCCGGCAGGTCACAGACCTGCACCAGGAGCTGGCCGAGGCCCGGAGGGCACTGACCGAGCTGGAGGCAGAGCGGGAGCAAAAGCAAAGGGATTTTGACCGCAAGCTGCTCCTGGCCAAGTCCCGGATTGAAACAGAGGAGGTGAGTCCCTTGAGAAGGGCAGCAGGGAGCTGCTGGCCCCATCACCCTGCCCTGGCTGATCTCCATCCCCCTGGGTCCTGCAGGCAGAGAAGGAGAGGTTGGCCATGGAGGTGAGGGACCTGCAGCAGAGGATGCGGTTCCTGCAGGAGCAGCTGGCTCCGGTCACCAGGCAGCGGGAGTACCAGGAGAAGGAGATCCAGAGGTTGAACAAGGTGGGGGCCAGGGCAAAACCCGTCGCTGCAAAATGTTTTTTATGTTCTGTGTCCCCTTCTCTCTCAAATCCAAAACTGAACCTGGTTGACCCCCTCTTGCCCAGCTCCTTGCCCAGGCAGGAGCTTGTGTCAGACAAAGCCCTCCACATCTCCTTAGGCTCCCAGGAAAGGGGTGGGGGGAGTCTGTGGTCCCTCTTGCTCTTGCCCAGTTATACCAACTTCCCATGCTGGGCATGTGTCCATGGCCCTCTGGAGATGTCATGGGCACAGCATCTTGCTCTGACCCTCCCTCCCTGCTCCTCCTCTTCCTCTCCAGGCACTAGAGGAGGCCCTGAATGTCCAGGCCTCCCCACCACCCATCTTTGGTAGCACCATGGAGCCAGTGGGGAAGGTGCCACAGCAGGAGCTGCTGACCCAGAACGAGCTCCTCAAGCAGCAGGTAGGGCAGGACACAGAGCTGCTGGATGGGGGGGGGGGAAGCTACCTGCCCCAGACCTCCCTGGAGAAGAGCCTGGTGTGGCCAGGAGCAGCCCAGCAGTCCTGGCGAGTGTCTGTGCTGTGGTGGTGGGGACGGGGGGGACCAAACTCAGCATCCTCTGGGCCTTCAGCTGGAGGGACCACAGCTGTGAGCCACCCACGTGCCAGGGCTTGGCATAGCTGGTGTGGTCAGGGATGGCAAGGCAGCGATGGGGGGGTGTTTGGGGGAGCTGTGCACCCACGTCCCTCCCTCCTGCCAGGTAAAAATTTTTGAGGAAGACTTCCAGCGGGAGCGGAGTGACAGAGAGAGGATGAACGAAGAGAAGGAAGAGCTGAAGCAGCAGCTAGAGAAGCTGCAGAAGCAGTTGGTCCTTTCCAACAACCAGGTGAGCCAGCACTGGGTGCCACCAGCAGCATCTTGGGAGCCCCATGTGTGTCCCCCGGGTCTGTCAGAGGTGTGCTCATCCCCAGTATCACAGCCCCCCTACCCATCTCTGAGTGGGGACAGGAGGGCTGGAGTGCTGGTTTTGCTGCCCCTTGTCCCTGCCACAGCTTCTCCTTTCACTCATCTCTTCCTCTTTCCTCTCTCCTGGGGGGTCTGACGGGGGTGGACCGGTGCAGGCATTCCCGCACGGCATGCCAGCATCCCCTGCCCCACAGCCACAGGGGGTAGCAGGGTGGGCTCTGCACTAACCCCTCCTTGCTCCCAGCTGCGAGCCTCCAAGGACGACTGCCAGAGGGAGAAGGAGGAAAAGGAGAAGCTGAAGAAGCTGCTGAAACAGCACAAGCAGGTGGGGATGGGGGAAAAAAGCCTTCCCAGGTGGAGGGGCTGGGGGCTGCAGGCCTGGCGCTTGTCTCCCGTTGGAGGGGCAGCTCTGAGCTGGGCGATGGGTGGTGGCAGCGGGCTGTCCTCGGGGCTCTCCCCAGCATCTCCCCTGGCTCCTCGCCGGCTTCTGGCGAGCGGATGAGAC